TGAATGTTTAATAGATGTTAACTATCATTAAGACTCCCTCACTGTACTTTGTTTTACAGATAATAACATCACTGTCTGATGGGCCTTTCTAGACTGTACCCTCCTTGAGGCAAGAAGATTCAAGCCTTTTCATTTTTGTAGCTCCTTTGGGCCTAGAACATAGCCCCACAAAACTAGTTATTTGGCTGATTTTAGAACACTTAGGCTCAAGATCTTCCTCCTTTTTCATTCCCAGTATTCACAAGGTGACTTTCACCATGACATAAGTAATTCTGTAACTTAAAGGAGCTTGTTATAATTAAATTCAAATTGGAAATTAGACCAAACAGTCTAACTAGTTGCATGTTGGAGCCCAGGACTGCCAACTCTTAATCCAGGGGCCCTCCTCACTCCAAGATGCTGGACTGTGTTAACTGCTTCCTGGATCTGTGTGCCAGTCTGGCTCTGGGCAGCCATGCACAATGATGACCAAGGTCACGGTGGAGCACAGTTCATTTTTCAGGGAGCCTCACCCACGATTCATGGACAAACTGGTGAACAAACCTATACTAGTGGGAAAGACTCTATGTTAGTCTTGCAGGACAAGGTTCAGCTGTAATCAAGTTTTCAGGTCAAATTCAGATCTGTTTCTGAAATATTTTCCATGGATATTTCTCACATCTTTACTGAGACATTCTTTGGTCTGCTTTCATGGATTTATGCCAAGTAGCCATTTACCCAACACTGGAATTCATTTATTTGTTTTCTATACACTGTTTGACTTTTCCCATATTTGGCCTTAGCTAAGGACTCTTCGTGTACGCCTTACATGGCTAGTTAGTCAGACTCTTTAGTATTTTTTATCTTAATACAAAAACTTTAAAGCCCAGTTCTAATAATAAACTAGGGACTAATCATTTTCTTTTTAGTGAGAATTAACTTCAATTTAGTTCTCTTCAGTGAATTTCACAGCATTAATATTGAACCATAATTCAGGTCAAGTAAAATATCAACTCCTTGGTGTGTCATTAATAGTACTTAGTTCATGAATAAGAGCCATACAAAGTAGCACAGAAATGAGCCTGGAGAAATTAGGCCAGACAAGGCTCAAAGAAATTGAAATATAAGGTGCTATCTTCTCTTTCTTTTCTGGAACAGCCTCTTGTTGTTCATGACTAACATGAGACACAGGCTGAGTAGTCATGGGTTTATTGCATTCAGAGGGGCTAAAAGTCTCAAAAGTTGGTTCACCAACTTTGTGGCTTTCATACCTCTAAAATAATATTCCTTTGGCAGGAGTTTTGTTCCAGAAACTTCTGTGCATTCCTTTACAAATTCAGTCATTTTTCAAATGTGTTTTAGCACCCCTGTGGGAAGAAATTAGGGGAGAAAAATGAATAAACAGAGATTTTAGTCTGGTGGGAAGATCAATGCAGAAAAGATGGTTTGACCAGTGTCAGTGGTAGAGCTGTGACCATGAGGCTGCCAGAGAGGTAAGAAGGTGACTCCAGAGAAGGGAATGTCACAGAAAATCATGAGGATAGAGTGTGCACAGTAGGAAAAAATGGTGACAGGATGCACCTCACTGAGAACTCCCTGAGGAGAAGGAATCAATGATGAATGCAGACACCTCTGACAGAATGAATGCCTTAAGCTGGCTAGGAGAAGGAACAAAGTAGAGTGAGCAGCCGTCTTCCTGTGTAAACTCTACCTGAAAGCTGAGCTAAGACTTGACAGGGAAGTGAGAATGAACAAAGACTGGGATCCTAGGCCACCCCTTGGAGGGGATGAAGTAGGCTCTTGGTTGTTTGAAGACCAATTTGGGGAACCAGGGTTAGAGATGGGAGTGCCCTATGAGAGGTACTAAAAATGTTGCCTATTTGGTAATTTCAGGTAAAGTATGCACTGGTTTTTGTAAGCCAGAGGAAAGCCATAAATTGCCTCTGAATTAATATTGCTTATGTAATTAAAATGGGCAAAGCACGTGTTTCACATTAGGGCAAGAAAGACTACTGAATTTGCAAGAAAGACTACTGAATTCTTCCTAATCATTCCTACAACTCCACTGTGCCCTCAAAGAGAAGATGTTCCTTCTTTTACTCAGAGTAACTCAACATATTCTTTGCCCTCCAAGGCTTGGCACCTTCTTGTGACCCTTTCTTCTCATGACTCAAATTGTTGGGGGGGTATCTTTGCTCTAAACTTCCACAGCAAGTGGCATATCCCTCTGGTTGGATTTGCACTCCACACTGTATTGTCCCTATTTGTTTTTGTATCTCCCCTTCCACTAGGACATAAGCTCTCTAAGGGCAGAAATTGCCTTTCATTTCTATATCCCCAGGAGTTAATCAAGGACTACAATATAGTAGCCATCAATACATTTGTGTGGATGGATGGGTAACTGATCCCAATCAGTAAAAGGTTGCATTCTCCTTATGAATCCAGAGCTCACTGAGTGGAAGCTTCGTAAACATGCTGAACCTATTTAAAATTGTGACAAATCATAAAAAGCAAGTGCTTCAGGCCAATTCAAACCTATTTGGAAATTTGTAGTTTTATATTCCTGTTCACATAAGTACTATAATTTTAGGTCAGGGTTTACTTATCAGCAAGGTTTCAAAAATGCAAAAGGAGATGAAATCTAATCAACAAAGTTCACACTAGGAGCCAGGATGTCTATCCTCTCTTCCTGATCACCCCCAACTCCTCGATCGTGTAACCTAGATGAGCTTCTTATCTCTGTAGACTTCCAGTCTCCCTGCCTCCAGTCTTTCCCTTTGCACCCATCCTCTGCTCAGTATCTTTCTTAAAAGTAAGCTAGTTAACTTGTTTCTTTGCTTCAAAACCCCCTACTACTCCCCATCCCCCAGCAAAGTCTCAACTCCTTTGCAGGCAAACAAGATCTTTTTTTGTTTTGTTTTAGTATCTGGGATCAAACTAGGGACCTTGTGAGGCTGGCAGCAAAACCACTGAGCTAAATGCCCAGCCCCACAAGTTCTGTTGTTTATTTCTTGAGACTTTTCCTCCTTTATCAAGTCCTTATATTCAATAAGTCCATTGTCTTATCCTCCTAAGCAAGCTACTGTGCCTCTTTGCTTTTTCTACATAGTCTCTGATATCAAAACCACTTTCTACACTTTTTCTGCCTGGTGAGCTCCTATTTGTTCATCTTTTAAGACACAGTCAACAAAGCCTTAGAGTTGCTTCCTCCTCATGGCCTTCTCCTACTCCTTCAGAGATGTGAGCACTTCCTCCACTCTGCTCCCATACCATTTTTGCTTGTTTACCTCAGATCACTCATAACCCTGGTGGAAATTATTTGCTTACTCATTCATCTCAGTTGCAAAACTTTGAGTTTCTCTAGGTCAGAGGCCATGGCTAGTTACAATCACTCAGGAGGTTCTCTAATATATGCTGGCTGAAAAACATCAAGTGAGTTATATTGCATTTTATACATGCTGTCTCTCTAATTATGACTATTATTTACCTCTGTCTCTCCATAAAACTTAATAATAAAGATCTGTTTAGCACCCATCAGGAAGCATGCATTGTTTTATTTGATATTATCATTTAGTTGTTAGCTCGGTAAAGCAGTCATTACTATTACTGTTACTTTACAGATGTGAAACTGAAGCCCAAAGAAGGTTAAGTATCTTTCCCAAGTCACAATTGGTAGGTGGTAAAGCTGGTTTTGAACAGAAACCTCTTGAACTTCAAAGCCCAGGGCCTTTCCATAATACCATCTGCTTTTCCAAATGCCTGCACCTAGTAGGTTCTCATTTGATTGTTTAATTTCTCTGAATTGCAATGCAGAGGACTGTGAATGTCAGGCTCACCCTAACTTGCATCTGGGGCCTGGCCATGACTACAAGTCATGTATGAAGTCCTGTTCAGCTACATCGAAATGCTGGCACACATAGAGACAAAGTCCAGATCCTCCTCTGGCAAGAAACTGTGTCTCCTAGCACACAGAATCAGCACTTCATTTCCTGGGATTGGATGAAGCCCTTAGCACAGTTTATGGGTTTGTCTTGACGTCCAGCCCAGAAACTGTCTTCTTCTTGGCTCCCTGAAAAGTAAGAAATCATTGGCTTCTGAGATGTTTTTCTGGTTGCTGAGCCCTCAAGGTAAAAGTTCTCTTGGATGGGTGTGAACAAGCCAAGTTTACCCAACTTACGGGGTATCAGCAGCCCTGAGCCACATTCCTTTTAGGGCTTACAAAGCATGCCCACTTCTCTATGTCAGGGGCACAATGCCTGTTGCCTAAGGGCAGAGGTCTTTGGCTCCACTGAGCATAGGACATAAAGCAGAGATCCTGCTGCAGTTCCCTTCAGGCTAGAGACTATACAGAACCCTAAGAAGTTTCCTTTTCTCCCTCTGCTTCCACAGCTCCTGCAAAGCCTTCAGCGGACATGGACAGGAGAGGCTCCCTAAAGGTGTTTGTTCTTGTCCTGAAATATGAGCCATAGGCGTATAGGAGAGTTAAAAGGAAAAAGAATACGTGCTTGTAATACCTGTTATATGCCAGATGTTTGAAAATATACTTTCTCATTTAATCATCACTGTAATTACTTTCCTGTTTTAAAGATTTGTAAACTGAAGCTGACTCTAATAAAACAGCCCATTGTACAGTAATGCGTGTCATAAAAACAAAAACAAAAACAAAACAGATACTGAAAAACCTTTGACCTTACTTCTGACAATCAGCTACTGGAACTCAGCGTGATGGAAAGGTGGAATATTCAGGTAGAATCTCTGCCTCAGACAGGCCTGAGCATTATCTCAGGCTGTTCTGCTTTGTTCTGTGAGACCCTGCTGGAAGTGGGAATTGTAACTGGAGCCCAAACCTAGCTGTCCAGCACTAAGGAAAGGTAGCAGTTTGAGATTTATGCAAAGAGCCTTGAACTAGGAATTTGAATACATTTGCTTGAGTCCCAACTCTTTTGTTACTAAGACTTGAGAGCTTGCCTTGGTTTTCTCATCTGTAATGCAGACTAAAAATTGTTAATTTCTTATTTTAGGATTCTAATAAGCATTAAACAAGATTTTTCAGATGTTTTTCTGGTGTGAGGAAGCCTGCAGAGACCTGGCCTACTCCTAAATGAATCATCTCTTGACTGAAGCTTAAGGTACCTATTCACAGATTTTCACCATTTCTGTTGGCCATTGTACTAGTAAAAGACAGTTTTTTAAATTCAAATTTTTCTGCTATTAAATGGAAATCACATCGTAGATAAAGCAGAACAAGTTTAGAGCTATTCGGGAACAGAAATTAGTTTGTTGGTGGGTCTCCTGGGTGCCTGCACCCTGGTAAGGTCAGGCTCACTGGCTCTGATGTGTCCCTTCAAGTCCATAGCCCACTCAGAGATGGTGACCAATAATCACTATCTGCCCGCATTTTTAGCACACCTCATGTTGTACAGCAATCGTGTTTACTTCTCTGACTCCCTTCTAGACTGCCCTGAGTGGGCAGAGAAGGTATCTGTCTGGTACACAGCTCTGTGTTTAGTATACAGCATGGTGTCTGGCACCCTGCTTAGCTGTTTGATGAAAGTATTCATGGAAAAGAGAACACTGAAAATGTTATTAGCATCAATAAAAGGAAACATCACATGTATGAAGTTATACCAGATGTTTCCTGAGTGTTAGGCCCTATGCTACATGCTTTACGTATTTTATCCAGTTTAGTGCTCATAATAATCTTGTGGTAGACAAAAATATCTTTATCCAACAGAGGAGGATACTAAGATCACACAGCAAGAAAATGGCAGAGCCTGGATTTGATTCTAGGTCTTCTGACTCAAGAGTCAGTACAACTCATCATATTAGTTGGTAGATCTTCATGAACACACAAAAAATAAAATTAAAAATTGCAGGGATGAAGAACTTTTTGTGATTGATAAGTGAAAAGTAAATAAAAATAACTCAACAGTTAAACACCACATTTTTCCTAAAGAGCCATTCATGTGCACACACACAATCACATACACGTGCACGACTTAATTTTTCTGTGAAAGCCCACTTTAATTCTCAGGGAGCCTTCCTTGACTGAGAATGACACCTTCTCCTTCAGACTCTTTCCTTCATTATGAGGGTAGAGTTTCAGAGAACACTTATCATAAGTAGTCTTAAGTTGCAGTTTATCCTTTTATAACTTAGGTCTATGATTTTTCTTTCTACACAATGAGAGATCTGAACTACTTCTCAAAGGTTCTTTCTGTATTGCATGTTGTATTTTTTTTGTTTTGTTTTTGGTTTTGTTTTTTTTTGAGACAGGGTCTCACTATGTAGTTGAGACTGACCTGGAACTCACTATGCAGCCCAGGCTGTACTCGAACTCACAGCGAGCCTCCTGCCTCAGCCTCCCAAGTGCTGGGATTACAGGTGTGCCCCACCACGCCCGGCTTGTATTGCATGTTGTATTTGTTTTGTTTTGTTTTTGGCTTTGTTTTTTTTTGAGACAGGGTCTCACTATGTAGTGGAGACTGACCTGGAACTCACTATGCAGCCCAGGCTGTACTCGAACTCACAGCGAGCCTCCTGCCTCAGCCTCCCAAGTGCTGGGATTACAGGTGTGCCCCACCACGCCCGGCTTGTATTGCATGTTGTATTTGTTTTGTTTTGTTTTTGGCTTTGTTTTTTTTTGAGACAGGGTCTCACTATGTAGTGGAGACTGACCTGGAACTCACTATGCAGCCCAGGCTGTACTCGAACTCACAGCGAGCCTCCTGCCTCAGCCTCCCAAGTGCTGGGATTACAGGTGTGCCCCACCACGCCCGGCTTGTATTGCATGTTGTATTTGTTTTGTTTTGTTTTTGGTTTTGTTTTTTTTTGAGACAGGGTCTCACTATGTAGTTGAGACTGACCTGGAACTCACTATGCAGCCCAGGCTGTTCTCGAACTCACAGCGATCCTCCTGCCTCAGCCCCCCGAGTGCTGGGATTACAGGTGTGCCCCACCACGCCCGGCTTGTATTGCATGTTGTAGCAGATATTTTCTGACTCCCCACTCGCACCATCACTTCCCTGCAGAAAGAGCACTTTGCCTGGGGCAGGCCCTCCTCCATAGCAGAGCTTTTACCCAATTGCTTTGGAAGAGCCCATTTTCTGCTGTATCCTGCATAAAATATAAATTCCTGGGACTCCTTATGCTGTCTCAGTACCTAATACAGGATTTGGAGTATAGTAGGTTCTCTGTGTTTCTTAGATAAATACATGAGTAAGTAGATAAATGAAATAGTGGTGATAATTATATCCTTAAAGAAAACCTCTAATATTGTTGGCGTTATTAAATTGACAGTAGTAATTTTTTGTTTTGTACTTTGACTCTCCTAGTGCTTTCTGCCTGTAGACTCAGGACAGAACATTTGGAATCACAGTGGATACAGCCGCAGACATATGAGCAAATTTTGACTTAGCTTGTTTCAGACTGCTTGCTGACCCATTGCCCTTCTGCTAGGAGTTATTACCACATTATCCGCCTCGATTTCAAGATACTTTCGTAACATGAGGCAATGCCAGAGCCCACAGCTTTATTTGTACGGTTGTTAGCTTCCTCTCAGGTGTCATCACCCATTTTTGGTGGGAGGGGTCAGGGTAAGGAGGGTGTTAATCTTTCACTTTGGCAATAGCATTTCCCCTGGATCCTGTTGTCAGATGGGCGATTTCTGGAAAGCCTCCACCAGGAGCTGTTCCCGCAAATGGAGGGAGTGCCCTATACATTTCCACTAATGCTTCTGCTAGGACATTCACTCCCTTTATTTTTTCTTTATTTTTTGTCTTATCGTTGGTAAGAAATCTAGTACAGTGGTAGAGAGCATGCATTTTACAATTAGCACTAGACCTCCATCCTGCCTCTGCCTCTTTTTAGCTATTTGCTTTGGGCAAATCAATTAACTTCTGTGAGTCTTAATTTTCTCAGTTGAAAACTAGGAATCACAATATTACCTACTACACAGAGTTATTGTGAGGACTGAATACTGAAAAAGGTTTATAATATAACCACAAATGAGGTGCACTCAACAATGTTAGTTATGACATTAAATTTTTGTTTGGTGTATTCACTGCTCACACTAAGTATGATACTGGTGAGCAGCTGCAGGTGAGTATATTTTTTTTCAATGTCACAAACTGTTTATTACAAACATCTAATCACCAATTGCTAAAGCATTCAGACAACACTGGAAGGTCATAAAATCCTCAGAGAATTTTTAAACATACATCTCCCTATTTCTATAAATCTCACCCAATTGCTTTAAATTTTCACTTTAAAAATACTACCTCCTAAGATCTTCAAAAAGGCAAATAAGGATATATAATTTTATTTTTCATTAAGCAAAAGAATTAAATTTCATTTAAAAAAAACATCATACGTTTGGGAATCTTAATAGTGAACAGGCAAACAGAGAAGGGGAAAGGTTGAGACTGAGTGTTGAAATATAGTACACAAGATGGCCATGGGGGCACACAACTACTGGGGGAGGTTCCCTTGAGCCCACAAGTTCAAAGAGTCTAGGCAACAAACTGAGACTCTGTTGCAAAAACAAAATAAAACAATACAAATACTATTATGCATAGTACATATCTGATTAAAAAAATGTTACTGGCCTACATATTTACAGTACTCTTTTCATCATTATTTACAGTGTTCTTTTTCACTTACAAAAAAAAAAGTCTCCTGTGGAACCATTATTTTCCTCTCATTGCTGAGACAAAATACCAGGTGTCAAAAGTTAAAGCGGTAAGAGTTTGTAGAGGTTGCACTCTGTAATCTGCTGGCTCCACCAAGGCAGGGTTGGCAAATGGCATCACAGAGAAACAACATGGCACACAGAAGGTAGCAGAGGTAACAAGGGACCTTAACAGTGTCTTTCTGCTCCTTTTATTTTACTCAGACTTCTGGGATTAGGGTGGTGCCAAACCAATCCCTCACATGTAGTGGGTTAGTAATCACACACCTTTAAACCTAGCATCACACATTCCATACTTAGCTGCCTTTGAAAAAGGACTGCATAAGGCTTTGGGGGGACATCTAGACACAAGCCACAACAGTCCACCCTGGCTCTCCAAAGACTCATGCACATTCCTGTATGCCAAAGCTATTTAGTCCACCTCTAAAAGTTGCCAAAGTCCTAAAAGTTTCAGCATTGCTGAAAAGTCCAAGTCCCAAGTCTCCTCTGAGATTTAAGTCAAACTCTTAGCTATGAGCCCCTGTACAAATGAAAAGAAAGTTAAACGCTTCCGACATTCCATGGCCCAAGAGAGACATTTCCATTCCAAAAGGTACAAACAGGGAGATACAAGGGAATGGGACCAAAGCAAGACCAAATTCCAGCCAGGCAAATATTAAGTCCTGTAGTTCTGTGTGCAGTATCAAAGACAATCTGTGGCAAGTTGTGAACATGAAAGTGGCACTGCAGATAGTTCTGTCTCTCATGGCTACTCTCTTGGGCCAGCTCTGCACCCTCCTTGCAGCTTTCCCCAGACGATCCATGCTCCTGGCTTCTCCAAACTTCTGGGGCCTCCACTGCACCTTTGGCTTCACACTCACGGCTGTGCACACTGCCCTCTCAGGGGCACACTGCCTCGCCTCCTAAATCTTTCTTCTGAAATCTGAGTGGAAGCCTTCCTAACCCCACAATTCTTTCATTCTGCTTGCACTTAAAACCCTCACCATGTGGATAATGCCAAGGTCTCCTGCCAGCTGGAGCAGTAGCTTGTCTTACCTCTTTCTTGGTTGTAGGGGTAGAATGCCTGGATCACTGAGCACTCTAAATTCAATTCTGAGGAACACATTCTCTAGGCTGCTGCCATTTTGGAACATGGTCCTCTGGAGCTTTCTTCTCAAATCAGTCTTTCACTTTTGCAATTTTGAGTCTGCAAAGGGTGGAGTACTGCTACTTTTTTTCTGATGCCCTTAGGCCATCTTTTCTATTCTGTTCCTTTTCAGTGATGAAGATCTCCTCTGCTCTATCTTTGTGGACCACAGTTTTATTGGAGCTTGCTTTTTAGCCAAATTCAAAACATTTTGAATCATTCTATGGACTCTTTGCTCTTGATTCTCAACACACATCTGGCTAAAAGCCCCCAATGGTTGCCATGTCACCACCTCAATATTTGACAGCTTTGAAATTTCTTCTGTGAGATTAATTTGTCCACTGCCCCTAACCTGTCTCAGGCAGTCTCTGAACATGAACAAAATGAAGACAAACTTTCTGCCAAGACATAATACATATCATTTAGAGTCCAACAGCCAATGCTGTTCTTCTTTCTATCAGAAACCTCCTGAGGCTTTACTGTCTTTCTGGTCCTCTGAGCTCTGACCAGATCTTCCATACAGAATAGCATAAGGTGTTTCAGCTCTACATTTTCAGCTGGCATCTCCAAACCTTTCCTAACTCTTCCCCTTCCCACAAGCGAGTTCCAAAGGCTCTTGAGCCACATGGCCAGGAAATGTCATAGCAATGACTCCACTTCTCTGGTACCAAATTTGTGTGTTTAGTTACTTTTCTCTCATTGCTGAAACAAAATACTGGGCACCAAAGGTTAAAGGGGAAAGGGTTTATTTAGCTTACAGTTTCTAGAGACTTCCTTCCATAATTTGCTGGCTCCAAGGCAGGGCTAGCAAACAGGCATCACAGGGGAGAAACAACATGGCACACAGAAGCAAAGGTAACAAGGGCTAAGTTTTTACCATTAACATTTTTATGGAAGGAAAAAGAATTTTGGATTTAATGAACACTGAACTGAAAGCATTCTTACTTGAACTCATTAAATATTTAAAAGGACCTCAACTTACAGGTAAAACTCGGAGGGTTTAGGAACTTGCTTTATATCATACAGCCTGGGTGGGAACAGGTCTTCCCTGTTTGCAGCAAAGAAGTCAGGGGCCCACTGGAACATTTAATTGTTCCACTCGGTGATAAATCGACGCATTTACCTTGGTATTTCTATCGCAGTCATTCGTTCTCATACTTATAAACAACTGTTGCCTATATTTATTTCTTAATTTTCTCTCACTTCCTTTGCAGGCCTCAAGATGTTCCGTGAGCTCTGCTCCAACTTCTCTTTTCTAATCAATCCCCACCCTGCCTTCTTAGTCTGGCTTCCTGGTAAATGCTCATCTCTGGGCCTATGCTCTTCCTCCTTTTAGTTTCTAGCAATTCCAAATCCATGACCTCAGCTTACTCTGTGTCTGGGACTGTTTGTGCTAGCCTCAGCGGGATTGGTATCATAGGCCCAAGCCCAGGCTGCAACTGCTGCCCTTCAATGTGGGGTGAGGGGGGGGCTAAGAGAGAATTAGAAGATGAGAGTCAGGAAGACAGCTAGGCTGGCAGGTGAGAGAAATTAGTATGCTTGGAGATGTCATCAAGACACCTGAGAAGTAGGAGTACCTCTCAGGGTTCCTGGAGACCTCAGGGGAGCAAAGAGGAGCTGCAAGTTTCAACTTGGGGCAAACTGAATGCTGGGTTTTAAACTGATATTGATTCAGTTCCAACAGGATCCAAAAAGAGCAGGGGTTTTGGGGCAGACTCAGTTATGTCTGTTTGTAATAATTGAGCATCAAATTGTTGAAGAAATTCTTTTTTTCTCACATTCAGATTGGATGTCCCACCCTGGCCGTCCCACTCAGAGTTGCACTAAAAATCCTTTGGCAGGCATTGAGTTCTGGTTTTTAGTTCTGAAAATGCAGTTATTATATCTAACCTATAATCTAAAATGCCAGAGGGCATGGAATATTCTATCGCACTCCATGTTTCTGACTTCCTAGGATTAATCCTCTTGCCTACTATGTTATTTCTTTGGTCAAATGAAAAACATAACTATACAAGTAATTATAAATAAATTGATATTCTCTTTGCAAAAATTTTTAATTAACCAGTAGAAAATAAAAACCTTACAAATCCCATTCAACCTCTCTGACCTGTGTGTATTATCTGCTCTTTATTAAGTGGTATCTATAAATTTCTGCCCTAACTTTTTTTTTCTATGCCCTTTCACATATTAGAGCATCCAGGGGTGTACAGACTTAGAGGTTAGAGAAAAAGGAGGAGCAGCTTGTCCTGGCAGAGCTAAGTGTGTTACAACTGATATTTTATTTTCACTGTTTATATCCACAGCATATAGTGATAATAAAATATAGACCAAGTAGTTTTATTACTTTTTATTGTTGCTTTCAAGTTATTGTTTAAGATTACTGCTTTAAATTAACCTCAGCTGATGCATCCTCTTACTGCCTATGCCCAGGTCAAATTGTTCCCCCTGAATTGTCTTACCTTGGCTTGCCAATATATGCAAGCCCAATATATACATATGTCTATATATTTTCTATTTGGGGATCATTCTGTCATATAATTCTTTAATTTGGTTTTCACCTCACTTCAGATTGCATCTTTGGGATTTTTCCAAAACAGCATGTGAAATCAACATAGTTCTTTATTAACAGTCACATAGTATGACTGAACTATTATCCTATTAATAGATACTTATGATAATTAATAGGTAATATTGGATATTAAAAAATAAGTGGTGAATTTGTACCACTGCAAACACAACATTATTACTTATTTACATGACACAATATTAGAAGCCACCTAATTTTTAAGCTCTACATAATATCTAATATTCATGTATATGATATATGACAATAATACTGTACTCATCTTTTTTTTCTGATACTGGGAATCAAAACTCAGTGAGCCAGCCACTTTATTTTATTCTGAGACAAGAGCTCACTAAATTGCTCAGGCTGGCCTCAAATTCTCTATCCTCCTGCCTCAGCCTCTCAGAGTGCTGGGATTACAGGCACAAAACATCATGCTGGACAAATTAGCATCTTTTGATAGTCTGTGCTAGTCTTTGTTCTAAGTAATTTTGCATGTAGTAGCTCATTTAGTTCTCAAAATAACCCTATGATATAGGCACTATATATTATCATCTCTGTTTGACTGCTGAGGCAACTAAGGTGATCTCACTGAAATATCTATAACTAGTAAGTGGTGAGCTGAGATTTGAACCACAGCACTAGATCTGCACTCTTCACACTGTGCTGCATGAGCCTCATTGTGCCCTTACACAAGCTATTCTCCAGTTTAGGTAGCTGGAAATGGGAAACTTAATGCACATTTCCTTGCCCTTCAAAAATTGCCATACTCCACAGAGTCTGAGAGTGCCGTTTCCCCTGAACTTTTGCAAATGCTGGATTTTACTAACTTTACTTATCTGTAACAACCTAAAGGATGAAAATATATTCCTTTCTTATTTTGTTAAGTGGACTTCTTATTTTGAGAGTGGACTTCTTAAATGTCTATCGACTAGTTATACTTTTTTCCTCTTATTCACTCAGCTTCTTTGTCCATTTAAAAAATTATTTACTTTTTGTTCATTTGAAATACTCTTAATGTATAAAGGATACTAATCTTTTGTTGTACATTTGGCAAATATTTATCCCTTTCACTCTTTTTTAACCTTTCATTATAGTATCTTTGTTGTGTGAAAGTCAATTTTTTTTGGTACCAGGGATTGAACTCGGGTCCTTGCGCTTGCGAGGCAGGCCACCGAACGGCTGAGCTAAATCCCCAGCCCTATGAAAGTCAATTTTAAAAAATCATTAAACTGCATATTTACCTATATTAAATAATTATTAATATGTTGGATGAAACTATATCTATGAATGAAATTATGTACTATCTGAGGTTTGCATTAACATAACCCAATAAGGGTGAGCAGACAGATGAAATGAGGTTGGCCTTTACTCTATGGTGGTTATAGTTTAATGATGTGTACTGAGGGCTTCATTACACTATTTTCTCTTATTTTTGTAAGCAAAAAATTAAAACCATCAGTTCATCTTATCTTTTATAATGCTATCTATGTTTTATGACAGAAGAGACTTCCTCATTATAATATTACAGAAATATTCAGTTTTTTCACAATATTAATTTTCTCATTTAGCTCTTTAGGCTGAAAGTTATCTTGTACATAGTCTGAGGTATAAATGTAATTTTTGTTTTCCAAGTAGTGAGCTAATTTTCCAGTGTGACTTATGGAACAATTCATTTTTTTTCTTCAAACTTAAATGTCACCATCATCTCTAACAAATTCCCATACATGCACACACTTGTTTCTGGATTCTAGAATGAATTTACTGAGCCTGTTGTTACATCATAGTTTTCATTGCCATATGTCACTTCCAGGGGAGCTTTAGAATCAGCTCACAAAGTTTCACTAAAAAATACTCCTAGGGTTTTTTGGGATTTTTTGTTTGTTTGCTTTTTGTGGTACTGGGGATCAGACTCAGGACTTTGCACTTTTGAGGCAGGTGGCAGAACCACTGAGCTAAATACCTGACCCACTCCTAGGTTTTTAATTGAGATTTTATTAGCCTTAAAGATCAATTTGAGGAAAATTTACATATTTTTCAATACTGATCTTCCATCCAAGAACAAGTTGTCTCTAGTTAGTTTTTGTTCTTTAGCAAAATCATAAAAGACATTTTTTCTAGGTTTAAGTATTATATAGATTCTACTGCTTTTAAGAGCTGAATCTATGTTTTCCCCATAATATCCTTCCCAACATTTCTTGTATTCTCTTCATTTGGAACTTAATTCCAGGTGGTTTTTTTTTCCATATTAGGCATTAAAATTATTTAAACAATTTTAAGCTTACTGGTTTATTCTTTACTACTTTTGCTTGTACACAATATTGTCCTTCTTGAATTTATTTTTTTTTTCATGGCAGCATATCCTGAAACAAGAGGTAAATATTCTTATTCCTTGTAGGTAAGAAAATGTCCTACACTTTCTGTAGGAAATGAATGGAAAAAAATATTTTGCTCTCTTATTTCAATGCTAGTGTGGCTAACATTGGTAAATAATTCTAGGCTCAAAATTAGTTTCTTTCAGTTTTTGAAGTTACTGTTTCATTACGGCCCAGCGATCAGAGTTATCTTTCAGAAGTCTGAAAACAAATCTCATGTCCCCAACCACCCCCCACCACCGAAGATCAAACTCAGGACCTTGCATTTGTGAGACAGGTGTGGTACACTAAACTAAATCCCCGGCCCAGGTAATTTGTCTTTATTCCCTGAATACTTTATGGTTTTCTCTTCATCTTTTATGATTCTGAAATGTCCCTAAGGTTTGCCTAAGGACTTTTATTGACACTTGGTAGGCCCCTCTGAAGTCTTGGGTCTTTTGTTGAGGTTGTGCAAATTTTCTATTATTTCTTTGTGACTCTCCGCCCTACCAATTCTCAATTCACTCCAGATATTTCTTTTGAATCAATGGAAGCCTTCTAGATCCATCCTATTGTCTGCTAGGGCTACCATAACAAAATACCAAAGAATCAGTTTACCACTCTGGGTGGCTTCAACAACAGAAATTCGATTCCTCACAGTTCTACAAACTGGGAAGTCCATAGCCAAGGTGCTAGTGAACCCATTTTCTGATGAGGGCTCTCTTCCTGGGTTGCAGATGTTTGCCTTCTAACCACCACCCCACTTGACAGAGAGAAAATTCTAGTGACTATTCCATCTTTTAAGAGGAATTAGATCCTGTCTTTAGGACCCATTTAATTTTTATCACCTCCTCACAGGCCCTAGTCTCCAACTATAAGTACAGTCTCATCAGAAGTTAGAGCTTCAAAGTATGAATTGGGTAGGGAGGCAGGGGGAGAGGCACAATTCAGTCCACAACAGTCTTAATTTTCTCAGGCTTTCCAGTCTTGATTTTTTTTTTTTTTTTTTTTTTTTTTTTTG